AGAGAGAGAGACTGCTATTCGTATTCAAACCTGCAGCCAATTTAGAACTACCACTAAACCTAAAGTGGACTTCTGTGATCTGTGGGAGGAAGCTGGAGAGAGCACACTCAGACAAGGGGAGGATGTACAAACTCCTACAGAAAGGTCCCGCCCAGCCGATGGATTTAAACCTTATTTATCTTGTAGTCCTGTGAGACTTCGAGTGACCCCATGTCATTTCACCATCAAGTGTTCCTTCCACAGCGAGAACACTTGTCTCAAGAAAAGTTTATTCAGCTTCATTAATGTTTAATGGCTGTTCTGAGTTGTGTTAATTATCCTAACTTTAGTATTTATATTTGAGCTGCAGCATGAAAGTCCATGGATCATAGCTCACCTGGGAGTAGGTCCTTGTTTTAATTACAGGCTTCCTCATTCCTCTCTCAGTGCACTCTATCTGTCACTCTTCAGTGCTCGGAGAATAAAGGCATATATTATGGAAATGGAGCCCAGCCTTGTCTCTGAATTACAGATGAGCGTTTCAGCACAAAACACTTCCTGAGGAATCAACTCGGATTGAAAAATTCCCCAACCTTAAAATTGAAAACACAGCCAAGTGATAATTAGTTTGAGAGAGTGCTGTGCAGTGTGAAATAAAGTCTTGTCTTCCCGTCAGCCCTTTAAGGATCGGTGTGAGTGGTTCTACGAGCATCTGTTGGCCGGCCAGCCGGATTCTGACATGGTTCATCGTCCGGTCAATGAGAACGATGTGCTGCTCATCCACAGAGGTACAGACACACTTAAGCTGCTCGTGTCCAGTCACTGATGTCATTTGCAGGGTTATGGATACGGAATGAGATTGTGAATGTGGCCATGTGAGAGTTGTTGGCACAGTGTGAGTCTTTACTGTAGCTTTAGAACAGCTAACTCTGCTTTTATTCTGTGTGGGGTATACTGTCGTAGAAAATCATTATCAGTATGTTGACGTTTGTTCATTGATGTTATTTAAGCTTTTGAGACTTGAGTACCTGCTAGTCACCGCATTTGGATACTTCTTGTCCCACAGCGCATCTATAGAGCACTTATGCTAGTATGAAATTGCCGACTGTTTGATCTCCACCTCAGTCTGATGCAGCACATGTTGATTTGTAACAAATGTAACCTCACAGTTTTATAAAGATACTTTAAGTTGCCAGAAAGCACTCGATTGATTATAATGTAGGTGCAATAACACCAATAAAAATGTACATAAACATCAGAAATCACTTTTGGGCACAACAACAGCATTTAGTCAACTTACCTCTGGAGCGTCTGTCTGCAGGTAGTCTCTCAGGGTCGCTGTTTGCCTCACTGTTGCTTCCCTTTTGTTCATGACTGGTGGCTGTGATTCCCCATACTGGCATACGGATTGTGGTCCCATGAGCTTACACGCTCATAAATACCTGCCGCCCAGGCTGGTGTCGGCTTAGCCCTTTGAGAGCCTCAACCCTGCAAAAACGACTGCAGCATGTTCCCAGCGGTGATTTCAGCTAAAGTGCAGTAAATAGTTAATGATTAGTTTATTAATTTACATTGCACAGACCTTAGAAGGTGGTTAAGAACCGCACCCCATGATAATAGTTAATTAAATAAATCTAATAATGAAATGTTTTGGTATCAACAGCATGAATATGAAACTCGAGGTGCTAACTACCATTGCATTCATCTTTTCTTTACGTCTGAAGGACACCTGCTTGTCTTCAGTCTTATTTGTGATCATTATTAGTTGTATTCTAACATCCAGAGATTTTTATGGTCTGTTTTATATCTAACAAGCATCATACAGTCACTCAGTCACATTGCATTGCCACGAACACCTCAACATTCAGCTCCAGAGTTCTCATTTTCTAACAGTTTGTTTTATTGTTGGTTTTAATTCAAAATAAACTTTGAATTCACTTTGAATGTTTGACTGCACAACAGTGGACCATATGTTAGTGTCCCCTTTGATAACCACCAGCTCCCCCTAGGACCCGCTGCAGGCTATTGTTCAGATCAGCAAAAGGGAGACGGATGTTATTTACAGACACTCCGTCATAGTGAGCTCAGGAGTCAAAGACTATGTGCCAAGCTTTATGGTGTGATGTATGCCGAAAAATTGCACCCCCTCCTGTCCCATTTACATAGCTGGGTCCCACTCTGCGTGATCACTGTCTAAGATCTTTTTGTGGGTATTGTATCTTCTCCGCAGGCTTCTTCTCTAAAGTCTGCCATCTCCTAGGGACATGGAAATCAATGGAGCAACCCAGTTGTTGCTTTTACCTTTATAATCATTTTTGGCCATCTTCTGTATGATTTTCTACTGATCTATAGATCAGGGGCAAGCTTCTTATCATTCTTTGTGTGAAGAAAGACTGACTTTCATGCATCTTCTCCAGCTGACTTTCTAGCTGCAGCCAAAAGATTAGACTGTCTTTTGAATAGTTTTCCCATGGGGTCATATAGCTTGGACGAACATTAGCTAGAATGAATGTCTTCAATTTTTTTCGCGGGATGGCCTGTGGGCGGACCTAAAGCAGACATCTCCTACACCTACCCAACCCAGATCCAATTTCTGGGCAAATGGTTTATTATGCGGCCCATTAATCTGCTTCCAAACCTTGTGAATGCACAGGATTTACTTCTTCTGTAACTCCATCTTCCTCCCCGACCTGCTCTTTATTGGGTGAAGATGTTCTCAGGAGGGTGCAGTCAAGGTACTTGTCACTCCGGCACGCTGTCCATGTAACAGCTGCTGCAAGTTCTGGCTACATGAATCGAGGATGTGCAATAATGGGGAGCAAATTCTGCTTCTCTTTCATATCTAAGCTTCTGTTCCTCAAGAGAAGTCGGTCCCTGTTTGTTTTCCTTGGAATGTTCTCCAGTCTTGTAAAAGAGTCCTTTAGATACCTTCAGACATAAAGAGTCTAGCGTTTTCATTTCTCGAAGAGGATGTGTTGGAGAGCCTTTGAACTGCGCTTTGAGAAGTGTCAGACATCAGGAAAAGGGAGTTTTTCTTTCCCACTGTTGCCAAGAACCTGGTCAAAGGGAGTCGTTTGATTGTTGGGATTTTCTCTCTATTATTATTATAGGGTCTTTACCCCACAGTATAAAGTGCCTTGAGGTAACTGCTGTTGTGATTTGGCCTTATATGAATTAAACTAAATTGAATTGAATCTTTTAAATGGTAAATGGGCTGATTCTTATATAGCACTTCTCTACTCTCCCGGAGTACTCAAAGTGCTGTATACAACATGCCTCATTCACCCATTCACACCCACTCAAACAAGCACTTCTAAACACAAGTGCAATCTAATCTACATTCACACACATTCACACTCCGATGAACGCATCGGAAGGCAACTTAGAGTTAGTATCTTGCCCAAGGATATTTGACATGCAGACTGGGGAAGCCAAGGATCAACCCACCAGAATTTCCAATCGGTAGCTGATCTGCTTTACCACCTGAGCCACAGCCACCCAAGTGACTGTTCACCCATATCTCTGTGACATCAACTTTGAGGTCAAACTGCCTACAACAAGCTTTAGATTTGATGGGTGCGTCATCCTCTTCAAAGGCTGCCTCCAAAGCAGCAGCCTCAGCCAAGGCCGCTTCCTTTCCTTTACCTTGTTGTAGTGCTCCTAACTGTTCCTCTCTTTGTATTTTGGTGTCTATTGTTTTCTCAGAGAAAGCCACCTTTGCGTGTGCTCCTTTAACTTTAACTCCTATTGCTAAACCTTTTTATGCCTTTTGAGCTACCGGAGGATGTTGAGGATCGTGAAAGAACATGGAAACATAGATCAAAGGTTAAGAGATCAGTCTTTAATAGGGATGGGTATCGAAAACCGGTTCTTGTTCAGAACTGGTTCCCACTGTTTCAATTCCTTGGAATTGTTTGCCATTTTTGCAAACGATTCTCTTATTAGGGCGACCGTGGCTCAGGGGGTTGGGAAGCGTATCTGTAACCGGAAGGTCGCCGGTTCGATCCCCGGTCTCTCTGTCCTGGTCGTTGTGTCCTTGGGCAAGACACTTCACCTACCGCCTACTGGTGTTGGCCAGGGGGGCCGATGGCGCGATATGGCAGCCTTGCTTCTGTCAGTCTGCCCCAGGGCAGAAGTTCTAAGCTAATCGACCTTAGTGTTCCCATTTTTTAAAAAGAATCGATAAAGAATCGGATCGTTAAACAGAATCGAAAATGGAATCGGACTCGTGAAAATCTTATCAATACCCATCCCTAGTCTTTAACTGTCCTGGCTTCCCTCTTTGTATCTGAAGCGGTTTATCCCGTTAGCTAAACAATCAAGTATTTTCACAAAGACTCTTGAACCAAGAAGGTTGCAATGAGTTCACTGAGTCTTAACTTACATAAACTTAATTAAAGAAAATACAATATCTATCAAATACACGTGTACTATATGTGTGCACAATATGCATGTTTGCACATGTTTAAGAGTACCTTGTACTCCACTATTGTCACAAAAAATTATCTACCCGACAGACCCATTTTCATATTAGCAGAAAAAGCAGAATTTCTTACAGTATGCAGACGTATTGTACATTTCCCCAAACATGTGAGACACATCAAAACTTATGGATCTTTGTTAGTTTCCTAATATAGAAAGAAATGTCCTTTCATCATGCATCATTAGCAGCTTCTGCTCTCTCCCCTCTAGCCTGGAAAATGAGAGCTCTATAAATATATTTCTTGAAACATGACATACAGAGGCCATGACATGAGTATTTTGAATTGGAGTCATACCTGGGGTGTGACTGATGATGTTTCACCAGTCCATAAAAACACAAATACACACATGTACACATACTGGAAAACTGACACCTGTTGTGGTAGCCATTATGTCCCTCTACCAGTCTCAAGTCTTGTCAGGTGCAGGATGACTTTGAACACTTATTAAAGCTGCCAGTAAAGCCTTGAGCTATTTTTGGTTCAGACACAACTCTATTATTGCAGCAGGGTTGGGATGGTCCCTGCTTTGCCAAATAGAATTCAGGAGACCACAGGTAGAATCCACCAGGGCCTCAACCAGCACCTGGTTGAAGTACCTGACCCCAGATGGAGGCTTTTCATATATGTGAAACATTCTTTGACAATAAAGAACATAAGGACACACTAGTAAGACTCAGAAGTCCTCCAAATGACCTTTGTACTCTTGACCATTCCCCAGGTTTGGCCAGCCAGCTTCCACCAATCAACCCAGTAGGACAGTTGTTGACTAGGTTCTCTTCTCCAACCAAACTGTGGCTGTGGGATTGATCCCTTTTCTGCTTTCTCGGGGAAGCACATGTACCAAGGCCACCAAATGTAGCAAAAGACATCATGTTGAGAGGCGGTTCACTCAGGAGAGTTCTCAGGTGGTTGAGCAGATCTGGTCTCAGATTGATGTCGGCCTCTTTGCGTGTGATTTGGGTGGGCCTGAGGGCCTGTTCCATCTTTTTGTGAGCTTGGGCTCACTCAACCAAAAGCATGAACACCTTGTAGCTACACAATGCTACCTGCTATTCGCTATAGTTACCTGTGGCATATGCCATTACATCTGGAAATGTAATATCTGGAAAATCTTGAGATACAGTCTCAAGTCTCAAGCTGTGCTCTGAGACACATTGTAATCAAACTACCTGTGATTTAATGCCAGCACCAGTGCTTTATAGGTAAGCTGTGGGGCGTGACTGGGTAGGCCGCCGTGTGTTAAAAAGGTATCCATATGCCCTGACTAGCAGTGGGATCATCAGTTGCATTCTTATGAAATTAAGAGTTAATCTCTTCACTCAAAGAAACAAGGTTACAATGTAACTTTATCCACATGGCACTAGTTATAAGTTGAAGGTGTTGTATGGTGTAAAACCTAAAGTAACATGATAAAAGGTAACAAAGTATCTAATAAACTCTGTCTACTAGTGTCCTAACACAGAAACAAACGTGGAAACATACAGCAGGTCTGCCCAAAGCAGTTGGGCCATTGAAGGTTCAAAATACCATTGGTCGAACAAACTGGTCCAAAATGTGCACCACCTGAATGGGAAATGACAAGAAGACCTTAAATAACATTCAACCGTCATAGAACCGAAGATCTGTATGAAAACGTTTGTTCTACAAAATATAAATTGTATTTCCCCATATCACCATCAGATTCCATATTTAGGAGTAGCTGTGAGATGGTTTCAAAGTCCACCAATGAAAAACTCAAACAAGGCATTGCTGTTCGTTTCCATGGCGAGGAGGGTATGGTGAGTAGTCTGCAGTTCAGCTGTTAACAGTATAAACAGTAGTATTGTAGTTTGTATTAAAGACGCAGAGTACTCTGTGTGTGTGTGTGTGTGTGTGTGTGTGTGTGTGTGTGTGTGTGTGCGTGTGTGCGTGCGTGTGTGTGTGTGTGTTTCAGGGCCAAGGTGTAGTTCGGGAGTGGTTTGACATTCTATCCAATGAGATCATCAACCCAGACTACGCTCTGTTCACTCAGTCAGCTGATGGTATGTGACATTTTTCCTTTAAATCAGTTCAGGTGTACAGAGTGATCCACAGAATGATCTCATGACATGTTTGTGTGACCACTGCTTGCTATTAAGATCATTTTGTACTGACATGTTTGACAAGATGAGGCACAGTTTAGTCGCACTAGCATGGCTCCCCAATCCTAGCTCAACGGCGGCTGCCTCTGTAGAATCATAATTTACAAATTTGTGAGAGGAAAATGCACGACTGCTTCCCAAGTTAATCTACAAAAGGCATTAAGTCATGAAAGTCATGTTGTGCAAGAGCACTGTGTTAAAGAGAGAGGAGAGAATAAATGCCAGAGAGATCAGATTAGATAAGAAGAACTTTATTTATCCCGAGGGAAATTCTTTTGTCATACACATGCAGCAAGAGAGACAGAGGAGCAGAGGAATAAGATATACAATATATACAATAAGAATACTAGTATACAGTAATATACAGTAGGATAGTGCAAAATATAATATGAAATAACTGTAACGAAGTAACAATATAACTGTATCCTGAAAAATAAATAGCTTAGCTATCAGTGCAGGTGATTCTAAAAGTGACATAGTGTTGTGCAAATGAATAAAAGAGAGTAGCAGCGTATGATGGGGACATGAAACAAACATT